CGGAGATGCGTTTGGACGACCCCGTCGTAAGCCGAAAATACCGTAAGTCGAAGATGGCCTATAGCCTACCCAGGAGTCTTAAAGGACGGTGATAATTTAGCAAAACAAAGCAATTTACAGTAGCGTACTGTATAAACTATATACCGTGTGTATTTATTAATTGCAATACTGTATTGCACAGTGAAATGTAAAGTAAAAAACAAGGAAAATTCTTAGCCTACCTATATGAACTGAAATTTAATAGAAAGTTTTAGCAGGAAACAATCCTATCTGCTACAGAAACTTTTAACATGCATTGAACGTATCGTATCGTGGTAACCCTAAAATTAAATCGCTAAAGCTACGTATCATAGTGTAGTGTATAGTGTAATGCATAGTGTAGTGTATAGTGTAGTGTAGAGTAGTGTAGTGTAGTGTATAGTAGTGTATAGTGTAGTGTATAATGACGTGTATAGTGTAGTGTAATAATGTAGTGTATAGTGTAGTGTAATAGTGTAGTGTATAGTGTAGAGTATTGTGTAGTGTATAGTGTAGTGTATAGTGTAGTATATAGTGTAGTGTATACATGCATTGAACGTATCGTAACGTATCATATTGTACTGTGTACTCACCAATATTCTGTCCGTCGTCTGCACACGTGAACGATGTTAGGTTGTTGATGGCAATTTTGTCGAATCGCCATCGTAAGATCAAAATGTCGTAAGTCGGACCCCATCGTAACTCGGGGTCTACCTGTACATGTATCCATGTCGTTGGGGTTTTATTTTCGCCCTACGTAGCCAACCGTCATCATTATTATCAGAGGCGCGAGATGAGTTCTCAAGGTTACGGGGGGAGGCTTCATATTTTCCGAGGGTTCTGTGTTGGGAAGTTTGGATAATGAAGTTGTAAAATAGAATACGGCACAAGTGCAGACAAATAATATGCTTCGTTCACATGTATGTGATTTGTATTGGAACAGAAGCCACTGGCAAGTCACGGCAATACGAGGAACACAGCAGAGGGCAGTGCAGCCAAACACATTGTAATGTGCTCCAGACGCAGTAGTAGCACTAGTGTAGAGGTATTACGTAGAGGGGTGTAGCAAGCCGTTACGTTGGGGTGTCTACATCAACGTCCGTGCGTGGGGTGTCTACATCAACATCCGCATACAGCCCCGCCCCTCGGGGGGGGGGGGCAGTTGGGTATATAAGGCGGTGCGCGAGAGAGCTCGGGGAGTCGATGGAGCAGAAGAGCCGGTGAAGAGTGAAGAGCAGCGAGCTCACCACTCACTCACTCAGTCACTCACTCAGTCACTCACTCAGTCACTCACTCACTCACTCAGTCACTCACTCACTCAGTCACTCACTCAGTCACTCAGTTGCTCACCACTCACTCACTCACTCAGTCACTCACTCAGTCACTCACTCAGTCACTCACTCACTCAGTCACTCAGTCACTCACTCAGTCACTCACTCACTCAGTCGCTCAGTCACTCAGTTGCTCACCACTCACTCACTTACTCAGTCACTCACTCAGTCACTCACTCACTCAGTCACTCACTCACTCAGTCACTCACCACTCACTCACTCAGTCACTCACTCACTCAGTCGCCCAGTCACTCACTCAGTCACTCACTTGCTCACCACTCACTCACCATACAGGTTACTCACCACTCACGCACTCACCCACCCACTCAGCCACCCACTCACCTACACACTCACCTACTCACTCACCTACTAAGAGTACCAGCTAGCTAGCCTAGCCCTGGGACTACTACCCTGACTCGCTGCTCTTGTAAGAGCCGGGCAGGGCAAGCCAGGGGCGACCTCAGAGCAGCAGCGAGGTCTTCTGTGTCCTTGTGAGGGCCAGACTCGTGTGGCTGAGGGTCGGACCTGAGCCGAAGCTGGGCCAGGTGAGTTAGCCTCCTCTACTAGGATGGTCTGGGTTAGAGGGGTGTAGTAGGAGCTGACGGGGAAACGTTAGCTGAGGGACACTGCCTCGGATAGAACCGGGTGAAGGGGCCGATTCCTCTTCTTCGAGTGTTAGAGTCGTTACTCTGCTGTGTTGGATTTAATTGTAATGAATACGTGTTGTCAACGTCTCCTGCTCTACTTACGCCATTACACTTGTATGCGTCTATGCTCCCACCCGCACTGACCAGCTTGCTGAGCTGTGGTCAAATCACCTTGACAACCCACACGACGAGTTGTGTGGGGGGGCAGGGGGCTCACCCAGCAGTGGATTTATAGAAAGGTCCACCACGCTTGGTTGTTCAACATGGAAAGTCGTGCTGCAGTGAGGCGCAACCAGCGAGATGATAATTGGTTTTTTACCCTTTTATCTGGCAACAAAACTGACACCTTGAGGGCATTCATTATCAGAGTTATGTTTTTTGTTTGCATTATGACTGCAGGCATTGTGGTCTATGCAAACATGACTCATCGTAAAAACGGTGTCAGTTTTGTTGCCAGATAAAAGGGTAAAAAAACAATTATCATATTTTTTTTTTACTGGCAAATGAGGTACCAATGGTGTAAACCAGCGAGATGTTAACTGCCTTTCCAGGTATACAGGGTACCTGTATACCTGGACTTTGCGTGCCTCTCTCTCTCCCCGTGGTCGTATGGATTTTTCTCCGGCTCCTCCGGGTTTGTCCCCTCCACGTGTAAGAATCGACATCAACGCGCGTTCAGTGTCGGTCTTCTGCTCTAAATGTCCACGCGATGAGCAACTCCGTTGAGCATTATTTGTGGGCAGTTTGCTTCTGAGAAAGAGCGAAATAGCCCAGTTGGTCTCACCTCATCATATAAGAAGATGAATCCCTGCAGTCACGAAAGTTTTAAATCGAAATTGCAAATTTCGTTACTGCAGCTCCATGCTATTAACATTCCTTCCCTTTATTAATGCTAACCCTACTCCCTCCCTTTGATGCTGCTAATCCTGCATAATGCACGGGCATAATATGACTTTGAAACCCCCCGCCCACCTCCTACGTATTCCACAAGTAGTGACTAATCCCATATCTGCATTTCCCAAACATATGCTAAATTACTCTTGATATGCAAATTTCTTTGTCAAGGCGCTCTTCCCCCTCCAACCCAGCTTAAATATACGCTCCAAGCCTGGTGGTGTTTCATTCAGACGCTGTCTTTTCGACAGACCTGTTTTTCACCTGAGGACGGCTGCTTGCGTTATGGCCGAAACGTCGTGAGAATTATTTTAATGTTTTATATTTATTATTTTATTATTTCCCTTCTACGTGACTTTACCGAAAGAATCAAGAAGAAGACTGTAAAGCAGTCTCATTAAACCTTCACGTGTAAACATCAAGGAAGTTTGAAGCAAGCGGTCATCTGGTTTGCAACGGTGTTTTGTTATTTTTCCTCTTTGGGGAGTAAGCATTGCTGAATACTTTCACGTCACTACATTCACAATTGCACGCAGGGTCTCTAACACACTATAGCTCGGAGCTAATGGGTTGAATTGAAATCGTTTTTTGTTGAAAATTAAAATGCTTGTTTTCTCATATGCAATGTTTAAATTATGAAGGAGATCACACTTATCATTGAGAAACCAGGAGAGCAGTGGAGGAATTACGGGCACATGAAAAGATGTTACAGCCAATTGGCATTCTTACATGAACAAAAAATGTTCCCGCTGGAAATTGCATCGGGGTCGGGATCGAACCCGCAACCTCATGCGTACCAGGCGCGGTAGTCAACGTCTAGCCACCGTGACACAGATGGGTAAGTTGCGTGGAACTTGCTTTAGCGGTGCTCACAACAATTGGAAAAGCACCGGGCGGATAAAACGGTGGAATAACTAAACGTGGCGATGTTTACGGGAAAGGTGGTTCTGCAGAGAGGATGGAGATAGCGTTGCGATTGACGTATCTAGTTTACAAATCGCGCTTTACGCTCTTGACGCCCTAAAAACTTTGAAGCATGAAGAATTCTTACTTGAAATCGGCGTTCCCCCCCCCCCTTTCAACTCATCAATAAATCAAATCAATGAAAGTGATGTCACCGTCTCATCTACCAGCGGTGGGCGTCGATAGACGATGCGACTGTTTTATTTCTTGAAACACGACACAACAATTTACGGAACAGTAAATATATTTTTTTTATTAGAAAACTAATTTGTCACCTCGAGCTGCTCAGCGGGGCGACGCCCCAACTCCCCCGTAGTGGGGACCAACCGCGACTTGCAGGCAGCGGCGGTGGCCCCGAGGAGCTGGTTATAAAAAGAGCCTCTACTCGGCGCACAACTCAGACGCGTAGAGACGTGGGAACAGCAGCAGCAGCAGCGGTAACAGCATCATCCAGCAGCAGTGGAGAGAGCAGCTGACCAGGGACCGTGTAAGTCGTCGGCCCTGCCTCCACTAGGGGCTGTGTGCTCCGTATAACGTCGATTCAAGAGCACGAAGAGATGATGTAATGCAGCGATACCCGCAATTGCCCCTACAGGCCGCCAGGTGTCACCCTGTCACTACACGAATTAAGAGATCAAAGAGGAGGCACGTGAACGACAAACAATTACGGGAAAGACACAGATCGTCGGGGAAAAAATTTACCCGTAAAAACTACGTTTTTCACTATAAATCCTTTATATGCGTGGCGGCTAGTGTCCTCTCGTCCTCTAGCTTGAGATGGCTGCCACCTATGGGTCAGATGATTGCATGCCACCATTAAGCAATTGGTAATTGAATATAATTTATTTTTCCCTAAAAAGTGTAAAATTTTGGAAAAATGTTTTCACGAAAATAAATTGTCACGCACAACGAGTCTGTGTGCAAAATGTCAGCTCGATTGGATCACGGGAAGTGGGTTAAAAACTACCGAAAGATTTGCACGGTCGTAAGCACGCAAGCAAGTGAACTTAATATAAAGGATTAAAAAAATCTAAAGTGTTAAAACCGACAGGGGAGCGAGCGGTGAACGCCGTGAGAAAACCCTCAACGAGACACGAGAGACAAACGTCGAGATCCCGAGCGGAGGAGGCCGTGCCAGCGAACACGACTAAGACGCAGTGGGAGGAGGTGGTGGAAGAATCGGCGGCGGCGTCATCGACGTTGAGAAGTCGCCGCGGCGTGTGGAGGCCACCGCCACCGCGGACGAGAAACTGTGCGGGGGGAGAGGAGGCAGAGCGAGGTGACGGTGAAACACCCGTCACCGTAACGGTGAAACACCCGTCACCGTGACGGTGAAACACCCGTCACCGGGCAGAGGCCTCGTTGGGGCCGTGAGAAGTGCCAAAGTGATCTTCTTGGTTCTTTCGGTAAAGTCACGTAGAAGGGAAATAATAAAATAATAAAAATAAAACATAATAAAATAATTCTCACGACGTTTCGGCCACAACGCAAGCAGCCGTCCTCAGGTGAAGAACAGGTCTGTCGAGGCGACAGCATCTGAGGACGGCTGCTTGCGTTGTGGCCGAAACGTCGTGAGAATTATTTTATTATGTTTTATTTTATTATTCTATTACTTCTATTCTACGTGACTTTACCGAAAGAACCAAGAAGATGAATCCCTGCAGTCACGAAAGCTTTACATCGAAAGGCCAAAGTGGCCGTGACGTTTGTACCGCTCGCCTCTCGTTCTGTGTTTCTATTTTACCGGGAAAGGCCCCTGCCGGAGCTGCTGTTCGACGCTTTTTTCGGAAGCGTCCCGGCCACCGCAAACGACGGCTCGACAAAGCGGTTAGTGCCATCATCAACATCATCACGTCTCCCCAGTGCTAGCGATGTTCACTACACACCACACCGGGTACTCATTTGAGGCCGAGTCGACCTAGGAGAGGCCCAGGACCAGTTCAGAAAATCGTCAGGAAGAGGGGCCTCTGGCACAATATTATTCAATACAATTTTCATTCGTGATTTTGTCGTGATTAATCGAAGGTGGAGGGGTGACCAGCCCCTCGTACCCATCCAGAGCCCCCATTTAGCCGCTGTGGTGGTTACAAACGCCATGAAGGGAAAGGCCAATTTAAATTGGCCCTCCCCCCACGGCACTGCCCACCACAGCGTTCCAGTCCGGCACCACGAGGAGGTAGGGGGTTGTTCTTTTGCTTCCCACACAACAACAACAACAACCGCCATTGGCCACTAAGTGGCGGTGACGTCACCACGATGTTTGTGCCAGGCCATGTGCACCTTGAGGCCACGTGAAGTGTCGAACGCCCGCTGGCAGGAGGTCACGGGGCAGACCCAGGTGCCTACGGGTCGACTAACTGAGATGACCGAGATGACTGGCTGATGCACCACCTGTGCCCCCTACTGTGCCAACTTGCTGTGCTTTAGCCACCCGGCGCTCACACACACGGACGCACGCACACACAGACACACGCACACACGCACGCACAGACACACGCACAGACACACAGACACACGCACAGACACACGCACACATGCACACACGCACACATAGACACACGCACACAGACACACGCACACACGCACACACGCACACACACACAGACACACACACAGACACACAGACACGCACACACACACAGACACACACACACAGACACACACACAGACACACACACACAGACACACAGACACACACAGACGCACCTGTAGTGCGGCGCGTCGGTGACGGCGGTGACGAGCTGGGTGAACGAGGGCCTGCAGGAGCTCTCCGCGTGCCAGCAGCTCAGCATGAGGCGACGGAGACACATGGGGCATCCCATGGGACGTGGCAGTCGCCAGCCACCTTCCACTGCCTCCAGCACCTGGGGGCACACAGAGACCCATAGACTACTCATAGAGACCCACAGACTCACCACACAGAGACCCACAGACTCACCACACAGAGACCCACAGACTCACCACACAGAGACCCACATAATCACCACACAGAGACCCATAGACTCACCACACAGAGACCCACAGACTCACCACACAGAGACCCACAGACCCGCCACACAGAGACCCACAGACTCACCACACAGAGACCCACAGACTCACCACACAGAGACCCGCAGACTCACCACACAGAGACCCACAGACCCGCCACACAGAGACCCACAGACTCACCACACAGAGACCCACAGACTCACCACACAGAGACCCACAGACTCACACAGAGACCCACAGACTCACCACACAGAGACCCACAGACTCACACTACAGGGCTGCTGGTGCTGAACTCACGTCCCGGTTGCTCATGTCCCAGTATGGCCGCTCGCCGTGTGTCATCACCTCCCACATGACGACGCCGTAGCTCCACACGTCGCTTGCCGACGTGAACCTGAGCTGGGAAATCGCCTCCGGGGCGGTCCAGCGGATGGGGATCTTCCCCCCCTGGGGGACATTCACAATTTGATTTCGCCCTCGGCTTTCGCGGCCGATGTCGTCAGTACACGGCGAAGGGTTTGGTATTAGGTTTTGACCCTTTCAACTGGTACAAAACTGACACCTTTATACAAGGCATCATGTTTGCAATAACCACAACACAAGCAGTCAAAATGCAAACAAAAAGAAACAACTCTGGTAATGATATGCACTGTCCTCGAAGCTGATTGGTCCACACCCGAGACAGCTTATCTTAGAGTCTAGTCTCCATTGGTGTTGGACCAGATTGCTCCTTTACCAGTGGCAAAATAAATTATTAGGTTTTTACCCTTTCAACTGGTACAAAACTGACACCTTTCTCCACCCACCTTTACCCGGGTGGTGTACACCGCCTCGGAGTGGTCGTCCGGCAGAAGCATCCGCGAGAGTCCGAAGTCGGACACCTTGCACGTGACCTCGCCGCTGACGAGCACGTTGCGGGCGGCCAGGTCCCGGTGCACGTAGCCCACGCGGGACAGGTGCCGCATGCCGCACGCCACAGTCCCGCAGCATCCCCACCAGCTGGGGCAACAGCAAGTGGCCCTTCTTCTTCTACGCCGTGGTCCAGGCCAGAGGGGGGGAGGGTGAGGAGGGAGAGGGGGGGGCAAGAGAGGTGGAGAGGGAGGAGAGGGAAGAGGGAGGGTAGGAGAGGGGGGAGAGGGAGGAGAGGGAGGGGGAGAGGGGGGAGAGGGGGAGAGGGGGGAGAGGGAGGGGGAGAGGAGGGAGAGGGGGGAGTAGAGGGAGAGGGGGAGAGGGGGGAGAGGGGAAGAGGAGGGGAGAGGGGGGAGAGGGGGAGAGGGAGGAGGAGAGGGTAGGAGAGGGGGAGGGAGAGGGGGAGAAGGGGGAGAGGGGGGAGAAGGGGAGAGGGGGGAGAGAGGAGGGAGAGGGAGGAGAGGGAGGAGGAGAGGGGGGAGAGGAGGGAGGGGAGGAGAGAGGGGGGAGAGGGAGGGGGGAGGGGAGGAGAAGAGAGGGGGGAGAAGGAAGGAAGAGGAGGGAGGGGGGGAGGAGGCGATGAGGAGGCAGGCGCCTGGGTGACGTTGCTGCTGGTGCGGCCGTCTGGAACGCTCTTCCAGGAGCTGCGAGGTGCTTTTACGTCATCGTTATCGTCACCGTCGAGTTTGACAAACTAATTTGTTTAGAACTGCCGCTTGTTGTGTTTGGTTTGCCCCCCCCCCCCAGCGCCAGTTGGCTACGTAAGGTGCAAAGGAAGTTTGATGCACACGCGTGCAGTCATCACCGCAAGCGGAGCCCCGGTTAGTAGGAACTATGGCACACAACACAACAACACAACAACACAACAACAACACAACAACACAACAACAACACAACAACAACAACACAACAACACAACAACAACAACGCCACCATTTGCTCGCCATGTGTGGACAGTTACAGACACAACTGCTGAGTGTTGTGAGGCTGCAACGCACCGATGATCGCACCACTTGGCATTGCCACTTCTTACCCTGAGGAACACATCCAAGGAATGGTTTTCCATGAATTCGGTGATGATCATGACGGGTTTACCTTCGTCGAGAGGGCAAGAAAAGCAGACGTTAGCAATCCACGCAAAGCATTCACGACTAATACCGCAACATCATCACAGGGTCACGTACGCACCTTGTATTGCTGCCAAGATGCATCGCTGTGTTTTCATAAACACGAACTTTCAGAGGTACGAACAAACCTGTTCGTACGTCCGGTTGCCCGTTCTGAACCGAGAGTTGTAAGTTCAACCACCACACGCAATAGATGGTGGTGGTGGCATCTACATCTGCAGAGCGTGAAGAACCAGTGGCATCTACATCTGCAGAACGTGAAAACCCAGTAGTGTAATGTGCAGTGTGTATAGTGTAGTGTGTAGTGTATAGTGTAGTGTATAGTAGTGTAGTGTATAGTAGTGTATAGTGTAGTGTATAGTGTAGTGTATAGTGTATAATAGTGTAGTGTATAGTGTAGTGTATAGTAGTGTATAGTGTAGTTTAGTAGTGAAGTGTATAGTAGTGTATGTAGTGTATAGTGTAGTGTATAGTGTAGTGTATAGTAGTGTAGTGTATAGTGTAGTGTAGTAGTGAAGTGTATAGTGTAGTGTATAGTGTAGTGTATAGTGTAGTGTATAGTAGTGTATAGTGTAGTGTATAGTGTAGTGTATAGTGTAGTGTATAGTGTAGTGTATAGTGTAGTGTATAGTGTAGTGTATAGTAGTGTATAGTGTAGTGTATAGTGTAGTGTATAGTGTAGTGTATAGTGTAGTGTATAGTAGTGTATAGTGTAGTGTATAGTGTAGTGTATAGTTGGAGAGCAAATCCACAACATTTCCCATCCGAGTGCGGTGACGTTTCACCGGTGATCACGACAACGGGCTTCACCAGCCGCACAGCCAGCGACGTAACAGACTCGCCGGTGTGACTTTGTTTAAACTGCGTAGAAGGGACGTTCTCTGCAGCAGCTCACTCTTGGTGACGACGCCCTCCAGGCGGACGATGTTGCGATGGTCGAACTGGCCCATGACGCTCGCCTCGCACAGGAAGTCTTGCTGCTGCTGCTCGTCGGATCTGCCCTTCAGCGTCTTGACGGCCACGCTCACCGTCGCTGCCCCTCCGCTGCTGCCCTCATGCTTCAGGTATCCGATGCGCACCTTGCCAAACTCTCCTGCGGGCCAAGGGGTCAAAGGCAGTGGGTAGCACAAAGTTCAAAAAAGTTCAAAGTTCATGTATTAGGTAGAGCCCCGCGTGTTTATGTAGATGCAGCCCCGACGCATTGTCGAGGCTGGTGGTGCAGCGACAGAGTCAATCACGCCCGGCCGTCTTTGTCTCTCCCCCCCCCCCCCAGCGCTGATGGATCTGTACACACTGCACCAATCAGTGCTCACTTGTCAGGCTGGGTTGACCTCGGTTCAAGTTCATGTATTAGGTGTGGCCCTGTGAGCCATTCGGCTCTTGAATCGGGTGCAACCGCAACAAACAAAGAACAGAAACGTGAACAAGAAAACATCTTAAAGTGACTAAGTGCAAACAGGTCCACACCCGAGACAGCTTTCCTTAGAGCCTAGTCTCACATGGGTGTGGATCAATCAACTTCAAGGACAGTGCATACATTATCAGAGTTGTGTTTTTTGTTTGCATTATGTCTGCAGGTATTGTGGTCCATGCAAACATGACTCCTTGTAAAAAAGGTGTCAGTTTTGTTGCCAGAAAAAAGGGTAAAAAACCAATTATCATATTTTTTACTGGCAAATGAGGTTCCAATGGTGTAAATGTGACGTTAATAGCAGTGGCGGCTCGTCAATAGAGGGCGCAGGGGCGCCGCCCCCATCATTATTCAAGAAATATACATATACAAAATTTATATAAAAATACATAAATAAAATATTTTTTTCATACGATGTGCCGGCTGGTAGTAAGAAAAGCATCAGCATTTAATAAAAACTGGCTTTAATCGGTCAACTATTTTCTATGTTTTTCAATGTGTTTCATGCGGGGCGCCGGACAAATGGATGTCTATGTGAGACTTTAAATTTTCGGACAGCATGTGACCTGAAGCTGGTCTCTAATTGGTTTCTTAAAGATTCTCCTCGGGGCGCAAGTCGTTGCGTCCCTGGCCAATCAGAATTGGATACATGTTATTTTATCCAATCTGATTGGTTCTCGTCACCTGTCATTCAAATTTACGCTCTGGGCCACTACTGCGAGTGCGCAGGCGACACCACTTTGACACTTGCTAGGCTGATCAAATTTTTTGTGTAAACAATGGCAGCAGTTCATCCAAATTCTGTAATTTATTTACAAAAAAACCCTGTCACAAGGCTTTCGCTGGAAGAAATAAAAAAGATAAAGGATCTCGGACCGGACCAACCCGATTTACAAATCCAGCAGCAGGCCAGTGACAGAGGACGAAGCTACACACGAAGCTTCACCCGCGCTTGTTATGAGAAACGGAGGTGGCTGGCTGGATGTGATGTTAGCAATTCTCTTTTTTGTTTTCCCTGTCTTTTATTTCAAAGTGTCGGCACTGAAGTTTTGTGGACAACGACGGGGGTAAGAGACCTCAAACATCTCTCTGACAAATGCAAACGTCATGAAAGTAGCCGCAGCCATATTGATAATAGCATGAAACTAACGTTTTTATGTTCAAGTAGGAAACATGCTTTTTGGTACTTTGGTCTGAAATGTATATAAAAGAGAAACATTTATGTTCAAGTAGGAAACATGCTTTTTGGTACTTCTTTTGGTCTGAAATGTAAATAAAGATCATCAAAATTTATATTCAAGTAGTCAAAATGGTTTTTGGTACTGCTTTATATTTATTTGCCCCCCTCAATAAAATAAAAAAAATGCGCCCCCCCAAAAATAAATATCACCAGCCGCCACTGGTTAATAGCTTCCAAAAGCCAAACAGTTTCTCCCGCTCGTCCGCCATTGTTGTCAACGTGCACCAGGCGGTCTCCAGAGCCCTGGAGGCACAAACATTTCTCGCAAATTCTCAGCGGCGGTGTCAACATTCTTTTGAAGTGAACGCCCTGTGAGTAAGTTTTAGTTGACGGTACAGACGTGTCCGCTCCCCACCCCCCCCTCCCCCGTTCACCTGCACCGATGACATGTCCAAGTTTGATTCGCGAAGCGTCGATTTCCTTGGCGAACTCGCGGAGAGCGTCGCTGGGCACGTCGTAGTCGTGTGGGTCGATGTAGAGCCGGAAACCCGGCATCTTCACTGTGGGGGGCAACGGCGACATTAACTGGGCACGGCGGTGTGAGAAGTGTGAGTGTGTGAGGGGTGGTGTTTGTGTGTGTGTATGGGGTGGTGTGTGTGTGCGTGTGTGTGTGAGGGGTGGTGTTTGTGTGTGTGTATGGGGTGGTGTGAGAGTGTGAGTGTGTGAGGGGTGGTGTTTGTGTGTGTGTATGGGGTGGTGTGTGTGTGCGTGTGTTTGAGGGGTGGTGTGTGTGTGTGTATGGGGTGGTGTGAGAGTGTGAGTGTGTGAGGGGTGGTGTTTGTGTGTGTGTATGGGGTGGTGTGTGTGTGCGTGTGTTTGAGGGGTGGTGTGTGTGTGAGGGGTGTATGTGTGTATGTGTGTGTGAGGGGGAGTGTGTGAGGGATATGTGTCTATGTGTGTGTGAGGGGTGGTGTGTGTGTGTGTGAGGGGTGGTGTGTGTGTGTGTATGTGTGTGTGTATGTGTGTATGTATGTGTGTGTGTGTTGAGTGTGTGTGTATGTATGTGTGTATGTATGTGTATGTATGTGTGTATGTATGTGTATGTGTAAGTGTGTATGTGTGAGTGTGTTGAGTGTGTGAGGTGGAGGAGCGTTCACCCCGCACGCTGTAGAAGCGAGGTCGCGTCTCTTGGGGAGACTCCCACTTTGCCCGGCAGTGACCGCACCTCCTTCAGACACAAGGCGACGCACGAATCAGCAGCAGTAGCAACAGCAGCAGTAGCAGCAGTAGTAGCAACAGTAGTAGCAGCAGTAGTAGTAGCAACAGCAGCAGTAGCAACAGCAGCAGTAGCAGCAGCAGCAGTAGCAACAGCAGCAGCAGTAGCAGCAGCAGTAGTAGCAGCAGTAGCAGCAGCAGTAGCAGCAGCAGCAGTAGCAGCAACAGCAGCAGTAGCAGCAGCAGTAGTAGCAACAGCAGCAACAACAGCAGCAGCAGCAGTAGTAGCAGCAGTAGCAGCAGCATCAGCAGTAGCAGCAGCAGTAGCAACAGCAGCAACAACAGTAGTAGCAACAGTAGTAGCAGCAGTAGCATCAACAGCAGCAGCAGCAGTAGTAGCAGCAGCAGCAGTAGCAGCAGCAGTAGTAGCAGCAGTAGCAGCAGCAGTAGTAGCAGCAGCAGTAGTAGCAACAGCAGCAACAACAGCAGCAGCAGCAGTAGTAGCAGCAGTAGCAGCAGCATCAGCAGTAGCAGCAGCAGTAGCAACAGCAGCAACAACAGTAGTAGCAACAGTAGTAGCAGCAGTAGCATCAACAGCAGCAGCAGCAGTAGTAGCAGCAGCAGCAGTAGCAGCAGCAGTAGCAGCAGCAGCATCAACAGCAGCAGCAGCAGTAGTAGCAGCAGCAGCAGTAGCAACAGCAGAAGCAACAGCAGTAGCAGCAGCAGTAGCAGCAGCAGCAGCAGACATCAACGCCGCGTGAGTCGTGAAGAAGCGAGTTTCGCTCCGGAGGTCAACACGGAGGGGCATTGCCTCTCTGTGCAGCCAATCCACGTGGGCACACTCACAGCGCACACAACACCTGTGTGTGACCCCCCAGTGCCCCCCCCCAGTGCCCCCCCCCCCCACCTCTTCTTGACGATGATGAAAGAGGCAGCGATGAGCAGCAGACCCGCGAGGAGGGCGGACACCGCGGCGGCCCAGATGACCACTTCCTGCGTCAATTTCGCTGGGGGGGGGGGGGGGCGAGCAAATACATCCTTTCACTTCAGGGAAAAGCAACCACAACCACAACGACAATAACCATAAACACAACAACAACCAACAGAGCAACACCTACAACAACAACCACAACAACCACAACAGACAGGAGGGGTGGGGTGGTGGTGGGGTAGTGGTAGGTTGGCGTAGTGGTTGGGTGGTGGTGGTGGTGGTGGGGTTGCATGTTGGGGTGGGTGGGTGGTGGTGGTGGTTGGTGGTGGGGTTGGTGGTGGGTGGGTGGGGGTGAGGGTGGTGGTGGGGTTGGTGCTGGTTGGTGGTGGTGGTGGGGTGGTGGTGGTGGTTGGTGGTGGTGGTGGTGGGTGGGTGGGTGGGGGTGAGGGTTGTGGAGGGGTTGGTGGTGGGTGGTGGTGGTGGGTGGTGCTGGTGGGGGTCAGGGTGGTTGGTGGTTGGTGCTGGTTGATGCTGGTTGATGCTGGTTGTTGGTGATGGTGGGTGGGTGGGTGGTTGGTGCTGGTTGGTGGTGGTGGTGTGGTGGTGGTGGGTGGGTGGGTGGGGGTGAGGGTTGTGGAGGGGTTGATGGTGGTGGTGGTGGTTGGTGGTGGTGGTGGTGGGTGGGTAGTGGGTGCTGGTGGTGGCTGGGGGTGCTACTCACGTTCGCGAGACGTGTGGAAGTGGAGTGTGGGGCTGTAGTCCCCGTAGCCGGCGGCGTTGCGAGCGCGAACCCGCAGCGAGTAGCCCGCCGCACGGCGGAGCCCCCCCACCGTCACACGCGGCTCGCTGCAGAGCAGCCGCATCAACTCAGCCTCGTCAGTGTCAGTGTCGTCATCATCGTCATCCTGGTGGGAGGGGGGGGGGACAGATGGGGGCGGGGTACAGATGGGGGGAGGGTGCAGATGGGGGGGGGGACAGATGGGGGGGGGACAGATGGGGGGGGGACAGATGGGGGGGGGCAGATGGGGGGGTTACAGATGGGGGGGTACAGGATGGGAGGGGGCAGATGGGGGGGGAGTGCAGATGGGGGGGGTTACAGATGGGGGGGGGCAGATGGGGGGGGTGCAGGATGGGGGGGGGGGGTTCAGACTCATCCCACAGAGACCCATTGAACTCGGGTCACCTGGTTCACGGGATGATGATGTTGTTGTGAAAACTCTGCTGCCCTCCACTTGCTAATGCAAAGACAAAGATCCCCCGTGTAGTGTCAGCAGACTGTAGGGGCAAGTGCTGTTAGCGAGTAGCACCAATGAAGGCCGGCACGGCACACGAGGGGGTGGGTGGCCAGCACCACGCCCGGCCGCCTTTGTATCCGCAGTGGCGATGTTTACACACTGCACCGGGAACTCATTTGAGGCTGAGTCGACCTAGGGGAGACCCAGGACTCGCTGAGATAATCGTAGCCGTTAGCGGGAATGGAACACACGGACACACGCGCACGGACACACGCGTGTACATTCATACGCACGCAAGTAAAATCGACAATGGTACCTCTTCGTAGCATGTGACTTCGTAGTCCAGAATGAAGCCGTTGGGCTGCTCTGGCTCGAGCCAGGTCACCAGGACGGAGTCTTCCGAGACGATCCCCGCCTGGACACGCACCACGGGGGACGGGGCTGCGGGCACATCCAGGACCTGATCACGTGGTACCTCGTTCGCTTGCCCGCAGGCCTCATACACACACAAACATACACACATACACACACATACATTCATACACACACATACACACACATACACACACATACACACATACATACACACATACATACACATACATACACACACATACACACACATACACACATACACACACACATACATACACACACATACACACACATACACACACATACACACATACATACACACATACATACACATACATACACACACATACACACACATACACACATACACACACACATACAAACACACATACACACACACACATACACACACACATACACACACACATACAAACACACATACACACACACACATACACACACACATACACACATACACACACATACACACACACATACACACACACACATACACACACACACATACACACACACATACACACACACCTACACACACACATACACACACACACATACACACACACACATACACACACACATACACACACACCTACACACACGTCGGTAAGAAATAACTCGGAGGAGGAGTTCCAGGTGCTGCTGCTGAACCTGGAGCGTGCCACCAACAGGTGGGGCCTTACCATCAACCCAACCAAAGCTAAGCACCTGCCTGGATATTTTATACCATCGGACACTCCACCCCCACAACTCTCAATTGGTGATGGGGCAGTTGTGGAGACAGTGGAGAGTTTCCCTGGGCAGTGTGCTAATGACCGGCTCCGGTTTAACAGCAGAGGTCTCACTCCGAATCAGTCAAGCGGCAATATCTTTTCATTGGCTGCGTAACGCTGTGTGGAAGCTACCTGGTCTATCACTCCGTACGAAGCTTCAGGTCTTCTTGGCCACGGTCATTCCCTCCCTTCTATACGCTTGCAAAACTTGGACCCCCCTAATGGAACATCTTCGCCGGTTAGAAACATTTAGGCTGACCTGCCTAAGATCCATCCTGGTTTTAACCAGGCTGCATTGTGTGAGGAGCTCACAAATCCTTGAAAGATCTGGGCAAAGTCCCATCGGTGACCTCCGGCAGGCAAGGCTGCTTTGCCTGAGTCATGTAGCCCGCATGACCAGCCACCGCATGCCTAAACAGCTTTTGTTCCGCCGGATCGAGGGGGCTAGACGGGCGCGGCACGGGCTAGAGAAGAGATGGAGTGATGTGGTACAGCAGGACGTGGAGCCGAGTGGACTTGCCGATGACCGGTACCAGCCGTGTCAAGATCGGCCACTGTGGAGGAGGCTCCTGAAGGACGCTACTGGGCAGTTGGAGGCAGTCGCCCTCCAACAACAACGGAGGGCGGAGGAGCGACGCTCACAACAACGAGCGGAGCGCCGGGTGGCTAAAGCACAGCAAGTTGCCACAGTAGGGGCCACAGGTGGTGCATCAGCCAGTCGTTTCAGTCAGTTGACCTGTGCCATCTGCGTTTGCCCCGTGACCTCTTGCCAGCGGGCGTTCGACACTTTCACGTGGCCTCAAGGTGCACATAGCCTGGCACAAGCGTCGTGGTGACGTCTCCACCACTTAGTGGCGAATGGCGGTTGTTGTTCAGTCTATGTATGTATGTGTGTGTCCATTTGTGCGTGTAACTCTATGTGTGTGTATCAATGGATTTGCGTGTGTAACTACATGTGTGTCTGCCTTTCTCGCCCGGGCAACGCCGGGTACTAACCGCTAGTTTAAAGATAAAAAAGAGAAAAAAACATTAAAAAAAGAACAAAAAAAATCATTTTACAAACGAGAATAAACATTTAAAGATGAAAAAGAAGAGAGACAAAACAAGAAACATTCACGTGAACGACAGAGAGGGGGGGGGGGGTCACTCACGCGCCACGGAGGTGCTGACGTTCACGGCGGCGAACAGCGACGGGCCTCCGCTGAGGCTGGACACTCCGTTGGTGGCGTGCACCTCCAGCGTGTAGGCGGCGTTCTCCTGCAGGCCGCTCACCTCCGCCCAGCAGCACGAGCCGTTGGGCAGCGGCAGTGGCACCGGCGGAGGCCGGAACCTCACGGCCGCCCCGCACGGCGCTGGCTGCTGCTGCTGCTCCTGCTGCTGCTGCTGCTCCTGCCGGAGGCGGCGGCGGTGGCGGTGGCACTGGACGGAGTAGGCGAGGTCGGGGCGCCCGCCGGGAGCCGCCGGCGGGCGCCACCGGAGCGTCAGCGAAGTGGCGGTGAGCGCCGTCCACGTGACGTCCGTGGGGGCAGACGGAGGCTCTGGGAGGGTGGGGGGGAGTTTAATGTAGTGATGTAGGTAGTGTATAGTGTAGTGTAGTGTGTAGTGTAGTGTGTAGTGTATAGTGTAGTGTATAGTGTAGTAGGTAGTGTGTAGTGTAGTAGTGTAGTGTAGTAGTGTAGTGTAGTGTGTAGTGTAGTGTGTAGTGTAGTGTATAGTGTAGTGTAGTAGTGTAGTGTAGTGTGTAGTGTAGTGTGTAGTGTAGTGTGTAGTGTAGTGTAGTGTGTAGTGTAGTGTGTAGTGTAGTGTAGTAGGTAGTGTATAGTGTAGTGTGTTGTAGTGTATAGTGTAGTATTGTAGTGTATTGTAGTGTATGATAGTGTATAGTGTAGTATGTAGTGTATAGTGTATTGTAGTGTATATTGTAGTACTGAGACCACCACGTACTTGCGCAGGCAACAGACTGGGCCTCGTCTCTGGGCCTGAAGTACCCGTCGTGGCAGGCGCAGGACGTGGCCCCGCCAGCGCTCCCCGCGCTGTGCGGCGGGCACGGGGAGCAGGAGCCGTCTCCCGCCGTCTCCTTGTACCAGCCCTGCTCACACGCTGCACGCACACAGAGCCACACGCCGCCCCATGCAGCCCTGTAGCCTTCGCAGACTGTTGGTGCTGTCAGTAGCGAGAGATGGGGTGAGTGGGTGAGATGGGGTGGGTGAGAGGGTGGTTGGGTGAGTGGGTGGTTGGGTGAGTGAGAAAGTGGGTGAGTGGGTGAGTGGGTAGGTGAATAGGTATGTGGGTGGGTGGGTGGTTGGGTGAGTGAGTGAGTGAGAAAGTGAGTGGGTGGGTGAGTGGGTGGTTGGGTGGGTCAGTGGGTGCGTGGGTGAGTGAGTGGGTGGGTGAGTCGGTGGGTGAGTGGGTGAGTGGTTGGGTGAGTGGGTGGGTGGGTGGGTGAGTGAGTGGTTGGGTGAGTGGGTGGGTGATGTGGGTGGGTGAGTGGATGGGTGAGTGAGTGGGTGGGTGGGTGAGTGGGTGGGTGGTTGGTTGGGTGAGTCAGTGGGTGAGTGGGTGAGTGAGTGGGTGAGTGAGTGGGTGGGTGAGTGAGTGAGTGAGTGAATGAGTGAGTGGGTGAGTGAGTGGATGGGTGAGTGAGTGAGTGGTGGATGAGAGGGTGGCTGGGTCTTCTCAAATCTTTCTCGAGGGTAAGCAACAACAACAATAAATCTATTAAAACAACCCCAATGCGTCACCTCGGCAGGCATTCCCCGCCTGCTGGTACCCGGCACGGCAGACGCAGCTCCCGCTGAGGCTCGCCCACTCGCCGTCAGCGTCACAGAGCATCGCCGGGCCCGGCTCCCCCTGGGCCCGGAGCGAGTGGCCCACGCACGCCCCGGCCACCTCCGACAGCGCCCACCGCCCGTCGCCGGCGGCTGGCGCGTCGGGGAACACGGCGAGTCCGAGCGCCAGCGCCGGGCAGCGCCTGTGGAAGAGTCGCACGGACAGCAGCCGGGCGCAGGCCCCCGTGTCGCGGAACGCCAGGCGGAGGCCGCCCCGGGAGAGGGGCCCCACGTTGCACGACGCCGTGGTCTCCCCGACCTCCGACCTGTCCCAGCCGACCGAGTCGACCTTGGAGAAGAGCCGCCGCTCGTCGTCCGCGAAGACGCCGGCGGGGACGTCC